GGGGGGCGGGGCTGCCGGGAGGGAGGCCGCGGTCGGGGAGCTGCGGGTCGCGGCGTCCGTTGGCCCTGGCGGTTTCTGCCTGGGAAAAGTAACTTGTTCGGGCTCGAAGTCAAAGGAGCAGACACCTTCTCTCGGGTGTTACCTGCTGAGTCCATTAGGAACAGACAGGTTACAAATAAAAACGGTTTATTCAGCTTACTAGCATAAAATACACGTTAACAATGTATTGAAATGCAATAAACCACACTTTTAAAAACATAGTTAAAAGACATGCAAAATTGCCCTTAGAAAAAACATTATCTACTTAATATATGCACTTCAAAACAAGGGAGTGTTTCTGCAGGTTGTATGTAGTGTCACATATTAATCGTGCCAGACTTTAAAGTACGTTGGATGCTGGTGCCAGCGGCCGCCAAGCTCCGCGAAGCTGCCGGCACCTTTCAGCGGGTTCTGCTCGAGTTCCTCCCCACAGGCCGCTGGGAGGACGGTGTCTGGGGGCTTGGGGTCCCCCCGCCCGTCCACACAGTCACTATTGCCATACGGAGTCGTGAACGGCCACCCAAGCGGCCAGCAGGCAGCCCTCGGTAAAACCTGTAGTTACTCCCACCACTAGGGCCTGGATCCAGACCAAGTGGAAAACATCACAGTGGTTGCTTTATGAAAAGATAAAATGTGCATAAATCAATACATTACAGGCCTGGATTTGAAGTCCCTCAGAACAATACAAGTATTCCATCTTTGTTTCTCTTTCTTTTTTTAAGCAGGTTCAGGAGCCCTAAGCTTACGAAAAAGCTGTTGACATCTCCCGCCCTCTTTACATCTTCAGTTTATTTACATCCAAGCGTTCTGGTTCAAGCATTTTCATCACTTTGCATATTCTTCTAAAGAGAATTGCTAGAAAAGAAAGTGACTTCAGTACCTTGAAAACAAAGATTAGCCTTTCAAAGTATTCAGTTCCCCTTTCGCTAGGATCTCTAGACCCTGTTTTGTGCTGGCCAGAGATTTTCCATTTTAAAAATAATAAAAGAAAGAGAAGGTGGGAGGAGGTGCAGTCCAAAACTGAACAACTGGAGAAAGACATACAGCAGCAATCAGTCTAATTTCGCTATAGGGAATAATGTGGTATCAGGTAGGAAAAAAATCTCTCCTTTCCTGTAATGATCTGGGCCTGCACATGCAGAGAGAGCACAGTCCATTAGCGAGATGAATGTACAATCCCAGGAAACAGAAATCCTGACTGTTTGCCTAGGGGCTGCTCCGGAGGATGGTTTCATGGCCAGCCTAACTGATCCCAGCTGAGCTGATTTGATATATTCTTTCCCAAAGAAGCCAGTTGCGCACCACCAGTTTGCTGATTCCTGCCTCATGAAGGCAGCGGTGGTGTTCAGACAACAAGCACACGTGTGGGCAAACACATAGAAATTTAGGCGCTGCTCCAGTAATGATTCTTTTTGCTCAAAAAAAGGTCTGTCCCTGCTATGGAATGGGCTAGACAGGGATGACGAGAAGCCCTGAACAAGCACATCAGAAGTCATAGAGAACCTTCAAGATCTAGCAAACGGGCAGGCACTGCCTGTTGGGCAAGGCAGCAGTATTGTTTAAAACTCAGCCATTTTCTTCTCAGCACTGCAGAACAAAATGCAAAATTACTTAAAATGTAATCAGACAGAAAGCAGAGCAGAGCTCCTCATTTGCAGGATTTAGGATTTAGCTGGAGCGTGTATTAATGCAAAGGCAGGTAGTGTGGAAATTATACGATTTGAATGGACAGATTAAAGCATTAAATATAAGCTCTTTAGTAGTGTTACTACGGCTATCCTGGATTATTGAAACAGACTAAGCTTCTTAAAAATGAAACTGCCCTTAAATGAATAATACTGTTTCAGTTCCATTTTTGACAAACTGGCTTTGCTAATTTGTTATCTCTCTTAAGTCACTCTCAATTCCCGGGTTTCATGCAGGAACTGCTATTACATTTGGCTTTTTTTTTTTAAGTAAAATCTTCACTGTCACACTGCCTTCCATAGGTTTGAGACATCAGGAATATTCTTCCTATTACATTAAAAAATAAAAATGGTCACCAAACACGACCAGCATAATGCTCAATCAGAATGACAAGGCACCACTCAATGTGTGCCCTCCCCACACCATGGTGCTGCTGAACAGGCATGAGGAAGCGAGGCAGATTCCCATCAAGGTCCAACTGTTCCAGCAGCAGCTGATGAGGCAGAAGTGGCCTGTAAGTTCAGCCAAAGGGACTGCTGAGCACTGCAGGGCTGGTCAGACCAGTGCAGCTGCTGCTTCTGATCACAGCAGCCTGAAACAGCTGGAAAGAGGCAGTGCAAACACGTGCTCTCCCTGTGCTCACACACATGGGGAGCTGGAGTCACAGACACCCCCGATGGACACAGGTCTGTTCCCAGCCCGCCTGTTCCTATTTCTTCATTATTGTTTTCACCTAAGAAACCAAGACCTGAAGATTGCTGCTACAAAGAAATACAGACATGAGCTGGATTGCATTATTCATACATGAGGATTACCCTTCTACTAACTGAAAATATTTTTTAAAAATCTGATTTCCTCTAATACACCATCAAGTCATAGTCAGGCAGGAAACTTTTCACCCAAAGCTCCCAGAGAGAGATTTTCAAAGGCACCAAGTGTGAATGGCCCTCATTTGATTTCTGCCTTTGACACAATGCCTGCTGGCTATTGCAAAGTATTAAGGTGAACGCATTTAACTCCAGAAAAGTGAATAGATATGCACCAGGCATGACTTGGAACGGCCTCTTGTTTTTCTAGCAAGATTCCTTAATAGAAAGGGCAATAAAAACAAACTTAACACTGTTAGGGAAGATGAGAGACACAAGACTGTTTCATGTATTCTGCTCATAAAAGCAGCTTTTAGCCCCTACATCTGACTGCCTTTTAGCCAGTCTCTGACCTAATCACATGTCCACTTCTGTATAAAACGAATAGACTTCACTCACTGCAGAGCTTCTCATCTGCTACAATGGGAAAAGCCACTGAGATTGACTAAGTGATGCTGACACAAAATTGGAGGGAAGCCCCAGCAGGTCATGTTTGCTCTTCTTAGAAGGAAATATTATGGCTTTTATGTTCAAGGCGAGTTCAAACACAGCTGACGCTCAGGGACCAGGGAATAATTTACAACTCACACCTTCAGATCTGTTTGGGGCCAATCCTTCTCCTCCTCCCTGCGTCTCCAAAGCCAGGCCATATCTTTTCTTTCCTCCTACTTCTTGGCCCTGCCAGGCACTCCAGAGAGCTTGGCAAAAGCAGCCCTGCAAGAGTTCTGGACACTGTCTTCAGCAATCAGGGAGAGAGCAGACTCCAACAAGCAGATTGTACCATATATAGCAATTTCCAGGAGCTGAGGTCTGTATAAATTCATCCCTAGGAAGGCAGACAGACTTATTGATCCTCATTTTTATCAGAGAAGACTTGAGCCAGCAAAATTAGAAGGCCTGGATACTGCTGGATAGTAAGAGCCCAATTCAGACTTGAGGAGCTCCTGATAACAGCTTTTAGTCCAGACCCAGCCCAGTATTTCCCTGTCTCCCTCCACAAGCCTTGCTACTGAGCTTGTGTGGTCAAATAAGCCTACACAAGCTTGTGAAATCCACCCAAGACACCCTGAGGGATTTAGCAGGGAGGAGGATTAGCGTGGATGAAAGTAAATAAAATTGGGGTTTATAGATAGGGCAGTGTTCTATTTTGGTACACACCCCTGCTCTCCACCCTGCTGAGGAAGTTACTAATACGGTGTAAGAAGAGGTTTCTGCACCTAGTTATCCTTCATCAAAGTATCCTGTCATTGAGTCCCAGGCCTCTGGGCGTGACACTGTTGCACAGGGGCAGGTCCAGGGCCAGCCATGACGCACTGCAATGCATTATGGATTCAGGGCTTGACAGCTGAAAGACTACGGTCTTAAACTTAAACAGGCCCAAGAAATAGAGTATGTGGCAGCCCCTAGGTTAAATACAAGCAGGGACCTATTAAGGTGAACCGCAGCTCCTGGACCAGCCAAAACTGCGGTATCTCAAGCATGTCCTTGTAAGGCCCGTGTGGGGCGGAAGAGGCACAAAGCTGCAGGTACCATTTAGGGCCAACAGCCCACTGGAGGCATCTCCTAAGAAGCCAGTCTTATCTACAATGAGAAAAAGAAAACCTCGCAGAACTTCAGCACAACACCACAAACACTAATAAATGCTGACTGGTGCAAATTCCCACGCTGAAAAACAAAACCAAAGGAACTGGTGAAGGAGATGATGAAACGCTCAAAGCACCCACAGTCCCAGGATGGCAAGCATCAAGACAAGCCATCTGAGTGGAAACAGGATGAGGCCTGTTCTGAACGTGTCAGTTTGGGTCCCTTTCACGCCTCCTATCACCAGCGGAGAGTTCAAAGGCAGCTCTCCTAAATGACACATTCTAAAGCCTCCTGGAAACACAGAGAAAGTAAAAAATGAGAGGTCCAGTGAAGACACAGGTCCCTCCTGCATGCCCTGTGAAGCACACACGCAGCCACACACACTCAGCCACCAGAAAGGGAAGAGGGCAAACGAGTGGCCCTCGCTTCTCTTTTCCTGCACAGGGCTGCAGCCACACACAGCAACAACTCTGCTAGAAGCCAGCTGGATGGCGGCTTGTGCCCTCTGTCCCCGTGCCCCACGTCACAGATTGCCCCTCTGCTGCCTCTCCAGCCATTCCCGTCTCAGCACCGCAATCTCCTGCCCGTACCAGTTGTGGAGCTTCGAGAAGCAGGCCGTCTCCGGGGACACCGGGCTCTCCTGCAAAGCCAGCGGGAGGCCGGGCACGGGCAGGCTCATCCCTGCTGCCCCACGTGCAGTAGCCGTTCTCCAGAACAGCAGGCTTCTCCTGGACGGGCCCCAGGGCGGGATTGGAGAGGTGCCTCTTCCTGCCCGAGTGGGACCTCCTGGGTGACTTGCGGCAAGCAGCCAGGCTCTTGCAGGCCTCCTCCAGCTGCTTCTCCAGCTCCCTCACCACCAGCCGCATGTAGTCAAAGCTGGCCCTTGAAAGCGCCTTCACCCAGGCCTCCATGGCAGCCTGCCCATCGGCCACCAGCACACAGGCCTTCGCACCCCCGCATCGAAGCGGATGGCGAAGGCAAACTCCTCTGCAGCCTCGCACAGCTCCACGGTGCAGCCCTCCAGCACCACCAGGCCCATGGGCTCCCGGCTTTCCCGTTCCTCAAAATAGAAGAGCAGGTTCCCCTTGAGGACGAACCAGCGGCGCTGGTAAGAGGTGCTGTGGTGGGCATGGTGGTGGTGGCGCTCCACGCGCTGGCGGAGGAAGCCGGCATGGTCCGCGGGCGAGTCGCAGGTGGCGTAGTGCGCCACGCTCCGCTCATTCAGCTTCATCGCCCCCGGCCAGCGGCCCACCTGGAGCAGAGGAAGAGACATGGGAGAAGTTGCCTCGGGGCAAGAAATGATTCAGCCCTCCGGGAAAGGCCCAAACTTGTGCAGAGACAGGACATGGGGAATAGCGTCCCTACTCCTGAAGCCCCAGCGTACAACAACGCCTAGCCCAGCACATATGTCACTGCAGACGGCAGGCCAGATTCCTCACAGGTAGAGAGGGAAAGTCAGCTGAGCTCCACCACTGAGAAGCCTACCTTCCACATTGGGAAAACAATACGGCCAGTTCTTTCTTTCTTTTTGTTTTTACTCCATTAATATCCTAAGACATTAATGTTGCAGGTTCTTATGAGGCACATCAGTTTGCCTACAAGGTGTTCATTTTGCCCTCCCTTCTATTATGGGACAGGATAAAGCAAACTTTTTCAGATCAAAGAGCTTGGGGAGCTCCATTTAAGCGCCCTCTCCCTGTCTACGCTGAGGGACCACCTGGCCCTCTCAGTCCTCCTGGCAGCAAGTTCCGTCCCCAGCACTGACAGATTGGGCAGTGGGGTTGAGAGGTGCTTACCAGCTGTGCTGGTCAGACTGCAATCCCTTGCTATCTTCCTTGGTTGGGCCGCTTTCTTGAGGAGAGCCTCCGAAGCTTCATCGTGCTCATGCCCATGTTTGGTCGGAGCTAAACCGACAGAGTTGGTGTCAGCAAGATCAGAAGAGCTTGGATCTGAAAGAAGAGAAAGGTGCATCACTGAAACAGACCTTTCTGGCTCCTGTGGATTTGTTTTGGTTTTGTTTAAAAATAAAGAGAGCTTCTGTAGAAGCACCTCTCTGCATCATCTGCTCAGGCCACATGCAGGCAGTTCAGCCATCTGTGTGCAGTAGATCCTACGAAATGAGAGCAGCCTTTGCACTTTTACAAGTGCAAATGGGGGCTCAAGAGCTGAAACACCCCACCAAGAAGCATGCAAAAAATAAAGCACGAAGGCCACCCCCAGCCAGGCATGGTGGCACCATGGGGTCCTCCTTCTCAGGGGAAGGCAACCTCTAACTTCCCTCCCAGAGCCTTTCTCCTCCAGGAGGACCCATAGGGCAGGGCCCCAAGGACAAGGGCACACAGACAGAAGTTGCATCAAGGAAGCAATCTGGCTGGAAAAAAGGAAAACAACTCTTTC